CCTCGACCTCGACCCTCGACCTCGACCCTCGACCTCGACCCTCGCTGGTCTCCTCCAGCCCCGCCCCGCGCGCGCCCTGGGCCCGCGGCCCCAGCTCCGGCGGTGTGCCCCGGGGCCGTTGTGAAATAGCCCGTGTCAGCTCACCCCTAAAAGCGATTCCTGAGCTGCGGAGATCAGCGTTCAGACGTGGGGCTCCAGGGTCATGCTGTTTGCCTCGGGGTCCGAATGCAGCCCCAGCCCGCGGCTCCTTAAGTTTGCCCCCAGCACAGCCTGTGCTCGCGCCCCCTGTAAACCGCAGGCCCCCCTGGAGGCGCCCCTCTCGCTAGGATAGCCCCAGGCCGTGGCGCGTCCTTTCATCCAGAGCCCGCTATGCTCAGTGTGCCATGGACCTTGCACTAATCATTGCAAAATGGGGACATGCTCATTCTTTCGGGGACATAAAGCACGCCAAGTTATGCAGGAGCCGGTTGGCATGCAAACGCGTGGATAGATGCTTTATCCTTCCCTTGACTTGAAGTTTCAAACTAACACAGATTTTTAAATTATTTGAGGTCGCAGGTGAGCCAGGCTGGGGCTGCAGACACAACCCAGGGCTGTTGCTTCTGGGCCCCACCTGCTGAGCTTCGCCTTCCGTTCCTGTTACCTCCGTGCGGTTTGCTCAGCTGTGCTTCCCTGTGCACACGTGAAGCTTACGGAACAGCTCAGGTGAAGAGGGAATACATTGTCCAGCCTGCCCGCGTTACAGGGGGGGAAGACGTAGAACAAACACACCCAGTGACGGGCTGAGCTCTGCCAGCCTAAGCATATGCACTGTGGGTGAGCAGAGGGTTAGAGGCCACGCGCAGGCACGGGCGGGCCACGGAGGGCGTTCCCGTTGGATGGTGGTGGCGGCAGATACTGGAGCACCAGGTGTTGTATGCTCTACCCCCACCTGTCCAGGCAGGCCTCACAGGAGCCTCGGGTGGTGGGCAGGATCCACTTTGAGGAGCACAGGAGAGCCGGGCTGTCCAGTGACGTGTAGGCCGCACCTGATAAGCGACGGGTTGGAGCCCAGGACTCCATCCTGCACACTCTTGGGAAAGCGCTGCACCTGAGGCTGTTGCTACCAGCGAGGGGGACCCAGCACCCGGCTGTGGTGAAGCTGGTCCAAGCTACTCTCAGGGACCCCTCCCAAGGGACGCGCAGGGCAGAGCTGGCACAGCAGGTCTCAGCTCCTCAGGAGGCCCGTCTGGTCCTTCTCCAAGGTCAGATCAAGCAGCTGCTCTCTGCCCAGACCCTATGGGAGGATTATGGGGTAGGCAGCCTAGGCTGGGGGCATGAAGGCTGGGTGTGGCAGGCGGTCCACCTGTCCTGCTCACCTGTTCCCCTGGCATGGACGTGCCAGTGGGTGGGTGGCCCTAACCCCCCTGCATGACAATTACACTCACGATACATTATAAACATTTTAATTCAGAGTTTAGACTTAATCCATATTTACATTTTAGAAAATCCCATGTTTTTCATCCCTAAATGTACCATTAACACTTCATATTAAAAATATAAATAACTTTCATACAAAGTTCACGAGTCTATAAATATGAACCTATTTGCCTCTCGAAAAGGCATTTGCAATAGCAGACGCTCCGCACTTTCTCATTCATACCATCAGGTCCTGGGCCGTGTGCCGAGCCCGTGCTGACCAGGGACCGGTCAGCTCGCTCTGATGCTTCGTTCCTGCACAAAGAGCGAGTCCTCAGTGATGGTTCCACAGCTCCCGATGGCCCTCCACTCACTGCCTGGGACCAGACAACCGTGGTTCTTTCTTCCACGGTCTTAACCGAAATGAGTGGGGCTGCAAGGCACCGGCTTTACACCAGCAGTGTATCCCCGTCGTCCCCATCCCCATGTCCTCCACCGAGCAGGCGCAGACTATCCTCATCATCAGACGCATCTGCTTCCTCCTCACTTCCCAGCGGCTCCGAGGGGCGTTTCATGCCCCGCTGCTTGGAAACTGCCAGAGCGTACTGAATGTTATAGCGGTTCCAGTCGCAGCTGTGAAAGTGCGGGGGTCGCGTTAGTGAAAGCAGGAGTGACTTCTATTTTGTCAGAAACGCGGGTTCACCGGCACCCCCCACCCTCTCTGTGACCCTGACGATACCCAGCCATATGGTATGTTTTGTCCCTGAATGAGATGACCCTGGGAGCACACCCTGCTGTGGCCCGGCTGGCGATGAGACAACCCCCACCCAGCCCACCGACGCTGGCAAAACGTACAGTTTGGAAACATCGTCCAAGTGCCGCTGGATGCTCTTCTGAAGGAACTGAACTGCCGGCAGCAGCTTCCCTGCTCTGGAAAGGAGACTTCCCTCAGTGCTCCGCAGCTATGAAAGGCCCCCCTTCATGGTGTATGAGCATCTGAAGGCCTCACATCACACCACACGCATGCAGAGCCCTCACCTCATGCTGTGCATCCACGTCAAGACCAATTCACGCCATGCTTGCATGTAAAGTTTCCCCTTTTATATGCAAAGATCAGCTGTGACAGGAGTCACAGACGAATGAGCAGCTCAGCACATCATACCTGGACTTCAGCTTCTGTCCGTGCGCCATGAGCAATTTCTGAGTCCATATGAGGTAGAATTCCAGATGGCGAGACACTTCAAAGGATGAAGCCAAAAACTCAAGCACTTTCTCCACGTACAACTCGGGGAGGGAGGAGCTGATAACGTCAACTGTAAGAGAGAAGGAAACCCACGCTGGCTCTGCCAAGAACTCAAACCAGGAGAAAAGCCGATTACAGCTTATGCCCTTTCTGTACGTGCACAGAACATGAGAGCCCCGACCAGCAGCTGTGGGTGCAGGGTCCTGGCAGCTCCCCGCCACCCCCTGCCCTGCCCCAGCCGGGCCTGGTGCTCACTCTCATCCCAGGGCACCGACTCCAGGGTCTCCTGCAGCAGCAGCTTCTCGTTGAGCCGGACGGCCATCAGGATGGCCCTGGTGAAGTCCCTCTGGCGCAGTGCCGCCCGGATCCGCCCAGGGGTGACGCTGGTGTCCAGCTCAAAGGGGTCAAAGAGCATCTGGGTGTCCAGAGAGTAGATGAGGAGCCCCTCAGTGGTGGTGGCTGCCCAACAGCGCCCTGCGAAATGAAGCAGTCACATGGCTCCTAGACCGTTATGCGCATGTTTCCTCACTTACTTTAAGGAACAGGCACTGAACACAGTGCACGGGCCCCGAGGCAGCAGCACAGGAAGGAGCACGGGGATGTCTTCCTCTTGCTCCTGCCCTGGCCGCCAGGTCCTCTGGGAGGAGCACCCGGCCACTGGGCGAGCCGTCCTCCCGCACCACGTGCAGTGGCAGCAGACACATGGGTGCTCCCGCCTTGTTTACACTGGCAGGCCTGGCAGAATGGCCTGGCAAGGGCAGCAGATACCTCCAACTTTGCAGGCCATGTGGTCTCTGCAGCAATGTCTCAACTCCACCACATGCCCAGACAAAAGAGCAAACAAACTGGCATGGCTGGTCTGTAAAAATTCAACTTATAAACCAGGTGGCCACCAGACCTGCCTCTCGGCCGTGGTCGGCACCCCTGGCTCACAGTGGTACAACGCCAGGTGCTGCTCTGCACCTTACTGTCCTTGCCACCACTCCACACTGGAATGTCGGCTATCAGCTAGCAAAGACAAGCCCACCACAACTCTGTCACGTTCTGGTCTGCACACTGCACACACATAATGGCCCCAGGCCCTGGGGGTACTGACCCCTCCACAGCTGCCAGAGGCGGTCTGCTAGACACTCTTGGGCATGCGGCAGGGTAGAGGAGCAAGGTACTTGATGGTAGACGAGGAGGCGGCCTCCAGGATGGTCCCAATTGGCACATGTGGAGGGTGCTCAGAGCAGGTGCCTGCCTCCCTGTCCCCAAGCCCAGCCTGTCTGAGGTCACAGCTTTCATAGCCAATCTCCAGACAGGACAAAGATGACCATGCCTAATGCATGGAGGACAGTGCAGCTCAGACAGAGCTAGTCAGAAACTGAGACCAGCATTGTCCCTGGGAGCAGGGGCTTTGTGCAGAGTGTGGGTCCATGCCGGACCCCACGCCTTCCAGCACCAACAATGCATTGCTTAGCTCACCTGTGGGAGAGAAGCGGAGTGAAGTCACCCTGATTTCGGGTTTGAAGTGACGAGAGCTCATGTCACCTGGAAATCAAAGGAACCACTCAGTTACAGGACAACACATTCCTCATCAGGTGAGTCACTTCACTGGCCCAGGTGGCAGTCCTGTCCCCTGGCCCTCCAGCCCTATTCGCAGATGTGGCAGGTGAGCCTGAGGTGGCACCTCAGACCTGCATGAACCAGCAGTGTGCATGTGGGCTGGCCAGCCAACCACTTATTAGTTCTGGAAAGAGGCAGGCTGGTTCCGCCTCCACCTGTCCATCAGCCAGGAACTTGGGAGCCGTGCACGAGCCACATGACTACACCAGGCAGGTCTGAGTGGAGGCCCATCCTTCCTGGGTATTGTCACATGAATTCTTTCTGGCACTTTGTTTTCAAATTTGCTTTGTAAAGGACAACACATTCTCATAGTAGGAAACTCCACAACTCAAAGGTGACCTGGGAAAAGTCTGTCTCCTCACTGCTCAGCCCTCGGCTGCCTGGAGCCCTTCCTGGAGGGCTACGTTCCATGTGTGCCCCACCCCGCAAGACCCTGCTGGGAGCGCTCAACCTCGGGTGACCGA